ATATATATATATGTGTATATATATATATATATATATATATATATATAATATAACGATGTATTTTGCTGTTTCCTTTCCAGCTGTGGTTGTTGAATGAAAGTGTCAGTCATGCAATACAATTGTACACCTTATTTCTCATCACTGCATTTTGTCTACATTTTGTTCTGCAAATTTTGCTTAATAACACACTTTGTGCATTTCACATGCACATTACTGATCGGGAGACAGACACCACCTGAGAGGGGTTTTTGCCCAAAATTGGCTCATGTTTATTAAAAGCGTTGGTCAGTAGCTCTGGCAGGGGCAGAAGACCACAATAGAGCCAGGCCATTAGGCCCTTCTAGGGACTAATAGGCAGACAGGAGCGCCTGTTTGCCAGGCCAGGGAGATCCAGACTTCAACCCTTGTGTCAGCGTGTCACCCAGTAATCATATGAAATCAGAGAAGATTATTCCTCATAATGTTTGCCCAGCCATTACTACATCCCAAATGGGTTTGCAGTGAAGAGGTGCTCCTAGGACCTAAAATGCAATTGCAGATTTGATGAAGTTGTGTTGATATTCATATGTAACCGAGATGGTATAAGCTATTTATCATCAGATATCCTTTCCTTACCCACTTACAGCTCTGATTTGTGCAACCTAAATAATGTTTCAAGGGTGACAAATGGCAGGACATTTGTTCTTATCAGCTCTTGAGTCCCCTTCTTCTGAAACAGTTGTCAGTGATTCTCTTCTTGACATGATCTGTTTGGATTTTGACAACAAGCCTGAAAACAGTGAGATTATAACTACAATTTATTTTTGCGGCAGCTGATTTGCTTTTGAATTCTAAAACCTGGTTGAACCCTGCTAATAGTGAGTAAGAGGGGCTTTTGGGGCCTTTTGTCTTTGTAAGCGAGTTAATGGGTGGTGCCCCCTTGATCTTATGGAAATGAACAGGGAATTATGAGAGCTGCCATGCAAATGTACATCAACCACTTTGGTGTCTGGTGGCCCATTTCCTGTGGCCCGTTGAATAATAACAATGTTCTTACCGAGGGTAAGGGTCTTGATGTGAGGAGCGTTTGGCCCTCCCCAGGTCCTCTTCATGGCCGTGATTTATTCCTTAAAAGAGCAAACAGCCCCAGATAAAACCATTTGATTCTTGATTGATCTCATCACAAGCTAATTTACCATGCATATTTACATTAACACTTATGATGAAGCTGATGAGAAGCTCAAGAAGAGTTTATCAATTCTAGTCTTGGACTACCTTGATTTGAAAAAAAAAAAAGCTCAAAAGTCTGACATATATGTGATATAAAAGACAACCTTTGGCTCTAGTTGCTTGCTGCCCTGCAGGTAGATCAGGCTGCATCGCTTACCTGAAAAACCACTCAGCTCCTCCTCTTCAGAACTCGGCAGTCTTTCCCGCATGGCTGATTGTTTGAGTAACTGATACGCTTTTGACTCTATTTGGGGACGAACACAAACATACACACACAAGCAGAGACACACATACACAAAGTCACGGTCAAATATTTGCTCAAAACGCAGGTTTCCAACTTTCAGACGTTTCTGTGTTTGATGAGACAACAGTAGCTGAGGTTTTTGAACTCAGTGCCGAACAGGGTGAGTAAAAGCACAGCCCAGTCAGCTTAAATGTTGATTTAAGCTGATTGTACATAACAGTTTCCATGAAACAGCAATCGACATTTCACGTTACTTCAGCATCACTTAACAGAAAGCCAGAGATTGTTTTTATATTATGAATGTTTTTCCCACATTCTAAGTAGAAACAAAAGCTACACTGTCAAAAAAACAAACAAACCAAAGAACATATAAATGTGCTGTTGGAAATGCAATAAAATAAAAAAAAGATTGTAGACGACACACGAATGTCAACTTGAATATTACTCACGTGATTGGGACAGTATAGGATACAGTAAAAGGTTAATGAAATTTTAAAAATACTTCTGACAGGCGCCACAATTTTGTAGTTTTCTCTCAATAAGCCTTCACTGTTTCATCAGTCAAAAGAACTACACTACCCAAAAGCCAACAGTGAACTACCCAGAAACCAATAGTGCTTCCGGCCGCTGCTTTCTGCTGAAATGGAGGGAAAGTTTTGATCCGATCTGAACCTGACTAAAAGGTTTGGTCATTATTCATAGTTTATTTTACGCTCAGTGGATGCAGAGCTGTACGGAACCAATCGATTGGACCTGGACTACTTCCAGCCTCATCGGTCAGTCTGAGTGCTGCTTGCCGGCCCATGAGGCCTCTCAAGCAGGGAGGCGTTTCTTGGAGGTCCGGTGTCTTCTCTGGAGCCCACCGGGACGTGTTTCATCTGGATCTCCCTGGATTATTTGGACGCGATCAGGACCACTGTATGGTTTTGTGCTGGCTCTCTGAAAGTCCGGCTCTCTCTAAAACGGTCTTGGTGCTCATCGGCTGCAGAGAGCCGATCAGAACTGGACCAAGGCTGGTGAGTATCCATATAAAATTTTGCAGTAGCTACTGTGCAGTACATGTGTATGTTGTTAAAATGATGCAGGTTTAAGAGTTTAGAACATTGCAAGAATGTGGGGTTTATAAAGCCTTAATATATATATATATATAAAATACTAAAATAAATATAGCATTCCTACTTTGAGGTTTTTCACTTATTGATGCGGTGTCTGGAACGTAACCCCCACGATAAACGAGGGACTGCAGTATTGTAGCTAAATAAAAACAGTGTTACTTCATTTTTAAATAAAAATACTGTTTCACCACTATTTTTACATTCTCTCTTAAAAATCCAGTAAGTTGACAGACGTGTATGTCTTGGTAACTACATCAGTCAAGGTCAAGGTATTTGATTGCGACATGGATGTCTCCCAGAGCAGCAAAACCTTTCCCTTGCAAAATTTTAACTCATTTTTTAGCCGCTTATAGCTCTTTTGATTAAGTGCAGCGATTGGAGACTGGACTCCTTTTTGCTGGCTGTGCACTTTAGGGATGCAGACACATGAAAGACCCAGTTGGAAATCTGACAACCAAGGGAAAGGCAGGATTGCTTTACATTTCAGAGGTGCAGCTGAGGGATGGGCACACCAACTGCTTCCAGGATACCGTCACATATAGTATTTTTCAAGTCCAGCCTTGCCGGAGCATTGTTTAGAAGATAATGAGAACCGATGACAGATCTTCTGTGCTGCCCACCCTGGCGCCGTGACAATTAAAGCAGCTGCATTATGCTAGGACAGCGGATTATGAGTCTTGCTAGAATGCCTCGGACCAGGCAGAAAATGCGGCTAGTGTTTTCTCGGAGATAATTAGAGAGAACTAGCGCAGCCCTTCAGGTGGGACCTTGACCCTGGATTCACCTTGATCATCCTGTCTCAACCATTGTGTAAAAGAGCCCATTATTCACTGCAGTAGGAAGAAAAACAAACCCAACATAAGGGCAGTGTGAATGCTGAGGCACCAGTAATGCCTTTTTACCTCTAATAGGACCACTTTCCACAAGGCTTTCGTCCTGGCTGTCCTCTTCAGTGCTTTGTAGTTCTGTAAGAAAAGGGAAATGCACAGTGAGAAGCAATGGCAAGAAGGAATGGGGTCTGGAACAGAAATGGAAAAGTGGGGGGGATCCTTTTTAGGTCTCAATGGATGGTTGTTGAAAAACTGGGCTATAAAAGCTCATGAAAAATTGTCTGATGAAATGCATTTCTGCTTTTTTTTTTCTGCAAATGACGTTTACAAGAAAAGATAAATGAAACTTTTTTTATCCACTGGCAGGTCTTGCTGTCTACATACATCTCTTTAGAATAATAGCCAGACCTGCATTATAATAATTTTGTACTTTCTTTGTAATTAAAATGCAGCATGCATGGAAAGCTAATAATCCCCAGTTACCCTGAATACGTTGCGTGCCTGCTGTTTGGGCGGGCTTCACATCAGTGTCAGCCAAGAGAGAAGAACCCCGCAAAGAAGATAAGTCACTCTTGTCCTCTGCCGAGGGGCACTCCTCACTGGACCGCGAGAGAAGTGTCCTCAGCAACACTTTGGCCTGCGTGCAGCACAAATTAAAACCACACTCTTAATTGTTCTCATTTTGTGAAGGAAGCATTAAATTGAACTTTGGCCACGGGTGCTCACGCAGAGGTGCAGCTGAAATGTGTGTTCAAATGCCAAGAGCCAATAACTTCAAATTCTCTCTCTCCTTTAACCAAAAAAAAAACTTCACATACGTTTGTTCCAGCTCCCCCCTCAATCCATTTTTCACTCTCTCTCTCTCTCTCTCTCTCTCTCTCTCTCTTCTCATCCATGAGATTAGAGAATTTTCTAAAGAATGCAATCATCCTGCCATTAATGTGCAACACGTTTCAGATAGCTTTCCTCTTGACTGAGAGGATTTGGGACAAACTACTCTTCCTCCCTCTCCAGCTCATTTTTATCTCTGTGGAGATGAGGATAGACAATTAAGAGAAGCTGTTCTGGGAGATGAGGAGCAAGGAGATGCCACACACAGATTTCCTTTCTCCCCCCTTTTTGCCTTCCTCATATCGAACTCTGCCATCATCATCTCTCTTTTGTGATCAAAGACTGCCTCTCTCAGCCTTGGATGGACGTTTGGAACTTTTAATGAATGTTAATGTGAAGGGGACGATCAGGGGGATTTTGACAGTGACAAACTTTAAGTGCATTGTAAGTTGTTATCTGTAGGTCACAGAAAAAAAAAGATTGATAATGCTTATGCTTTCAATTTCTGAGAGGAAAAAAAATGCAAACACATGCCAGTCTGAAGTTTGGGTATTGATGCATCTTCATAATAAAAGCTGTCTTGATCCTTGTCCCCAAAATCTTTTTTTTTTAGATTCAGTCAAATGTACCATGGAGCTGAGGGCTCTCGCAAATCCACAGCATTTTAAATATCAATGAATGCAACTGTTAGCACTTGAATATTCAAAGGACCTCTTTGAGTGCGTGCATGCGAGCTGCATGCTCCCATTTGTTAGAGTAGCTGGGCTGCGTGGTAGGACGTGAATGGAAATGTCTGTTTGCGCTTGTGTGTGGAGAGTAAGCTGTTGTATGAGAGGATAGAAAAAGATACATAAAAAGGAGAGATGGAGAAATGGAGGACAGGAGAGAAATAGATGGAAAAAGACAGAGAGATAAAGGAAAAGAAAGATTTCACTCAGGCTTTTCCTGATGCACTTGGATACAATGATGTGGATGGCGGTAGCCCTCTTCCTTTTGTCAGTTCATATTTTGAAGAGGCTCTACAGCCTCTCTCATTGCGATGGGGACACAGCAGCAAGATAGCTAAGCCACAAAAACCACAATATGAGATTGTATAAATTAACGACAACCATACTTGGTCTGAAAACATAAATTATTTCTAAATGTCGTGCTTAAATTGTGAGTTTAAATTGATATGACTTGTACAAGATCAAAAGGGGGAAGATGTAAACGACACTAATGAGGAAAAGTTTTATATATGTATGTGTAAATGTCTTCTTGCTTTTGGAGTTGAATGCCAACTTACCTTCTCTTATTTGTGTGTGTTGTGGGCAGTGTATGTGCCTTTGATGCTACCTGCTGGCTGTAGGTGGCATCACGCTTCACTAAGAGTGGCGTAAACAGTTGGACCAAGCGCTCAGTGCTGAGAACACGCTGCTCCTTGAGCACAAGGGCGTGCTTGAACCAGCGATCCCACAGCCGAGCCGCACTGGGAGGAAGGCTGGTGCTGCGGTGAGAGGGGGGGATGGGTAGCGTAGAGAAAAAAAAGATGTTTTGTTAAACACACTGAAGGAAATATAAAAATAAGACATGATTATATTTTATTATAGCAGCAGATTCTTTGATTAGCAAAACAAATTGTTTGACTTTTTATTCTCAAGATGCATTTTTCTTTATGTGTCATCTTTAAACAACTCAACAGCTATGGATTATTGATCAGTTTCCAGACAACCCCTAAAAAGGCACAGAAAGTAACATAGTTCCAGCTCGAAAAACTGGATAAAAAGTCGAGGTCAGCCAACTGGCATCACCAGAGAGCAGCGCTGCCAGATGTGTCTCTTAGAACGGAGTATACAATCAGAAAGGTCTCAGTAAAATCAATAGGGTAGTGAAGCAGAACATAGATTTGGCTCAGAGTGTAACTACTCATTATCCAAAGGACTGGAAGTCACAGATAGGGGCATTTTAATTTACCCATGACATTCACCCATGCTGTATTGCCGTATGAGTTGACACCAAAGATGACCTTTTACATTTGTGGACAAGGGAGACCGATCAAACATCAAACGTGTGATATCTTTGTAACGGCAGGAGGCGTGACCCTCCTTAGGGACTGGTAAAAGGAAAAATAAAATAAAATTTTATATGAAAGTAGAATTCACTTTTATTGTAAGTCTGTTCTCAGAAAGGTCTGACCTGTAGCTTTCAGAGAACTGATATTTGTGCTCGGCATTGGAAACAGCCGTGTCAACACAAAATTTTGACAATCAGCCCAATCACAATAGTTTAGCAACAGTCTGTATAGAAGTGCAGAACACATTTAGAGTTGTGTAGAAATTGAAGAAGAAAAGCTAAATAACTCACACAGCTTTCCACAAATAGCCCAATGCAGATGCATTCTAATTGAATTAGACAAAACAGAAATGTACAAAAATAAACATCCAAACACCGACGCCAGTTTTTGGCTTGGGGTTTACATAGAAACCATACCTTACCTTATTTTATTAGGCTCAGCGCTGGACTGATGTGCACTCACTACATCCTGTGGGAGCAGGCAGCTCTTTTCTGTGCTCCATGACAACCTCTGAAGCTCATGAAGGACGACTGCTCCACATGCTTCAAGGTCCTCGTCATTCAAGCCTGCTTCATCGTCACAAAGGCTGCCCAATATATAGAGAGCAGTCAGCTATTGATATGGAGCCCTGGGCTGAGCCCCAGGTCAGGAGCACAAAGAGTAAAGACAATATATACACAAACGCATGGAAACATACTAAACACGTATAACCATACACAACAATACAACTAAATGCTGTGAGGCCACCTAATGGTCACATTTTTATTAGTGAGGATTAGTAAATAAAGAACATGCCAGATTTGAAAATGTGAAAAAGCTTTCTTCTGATACACCATTTTTTTGCTTTACAAGAGCAGCAATTATGGCAAATGAAACATGTCCTGTCTAAAAACGGCTTGTGAAAAAAGAAACCCAGTCTAATGAAACGCATTCCCCATAACAATTCAGCTGGGTGGTTACTATAACAATCGCATGCGTTTGAAAACCCCTCCGAAATAAAGACGCACGCCTCACGGTGATGACACTTCATCTAATGTGAGAGCCCTTAGCAGAAGGATAATATGTTTTTCTCATTCGCACAAACTGCTCCATGACCATAAAACAAATTTGCATGGGATTTCATTATGACAGGAAGTGATAAGGTTTTAAAGTCTGAGGAAAGAAAAGAATGTACCTGATAATTCTATTGAATTGTCTTTCCTCAATTAGAGAATCCCTGTACACAGGGGTGTGTTCAGCGGAGAGTCGCCCTTCGATGCAGTCTAGCAGATTAAAGAGTCCTTCCACAGAGAGGCTAAAAAAAACAATATTATGGTGAAAGGAAAGAAAAGTGAAGGAGGTCATATGATCGATCGGCTTACAGTCTATAAAAAAATCTGCCTTTTGATTCAAAAATTTGTGATTCTTTTTTTTTCTCAGGCAATTTCCTTGAGATACTCAAGGACCTTTTAAGAATGTGGTCATCAAAATGCGATGGTCACAAAGCAGGATTTCAACACTTCACTGTGTCTGTTGATGGTGCCACAAGTAATAACGGGTTGCATGTGAAAGCTTTGACACCTGGCACTCGAAACGAGAACTTGTGGCATTGACTGCTGAAGGAAAATAAACGGCGTTAGCTGTGACTTGGTAAATTCTAAAATTATCCATCCATCCATTTCCTTTCTCCTTTCTAGGTCGTGGGGAGCTTGTGTCTAAAATTATTTTTATTATAAGTAATATGATAATAAAAGCAAAAATGTAATGAAAATATTAGCACAATCTCATACTTGAAAAAGCAGGAAAAAAGCGTGTGTGGAGGCTGGATGTATTCTTCTGGCGAGAGATTTAAACTTTAATCTTTAATCTGGTTCTGTGTGAGGCGACAAAATGAGAAATGGATGCCTAATACATGTGGATATTGAGAATCCCATCTCTTTCTTGGGCATTAAGCTATGGGTGGCCCTCATTGAATTCTCCCAGAAACCCCAAACCGAGAGATTCTGAGCTGCCTTCCATAAAGAGGGGCCAAAAATAATTTATGACAATCTATAATAGGCTCTTGGGTTAGGGGTCAGCAAACAATTGCTCCCTCCTTTTTGCAGGTTGTTTCTTGGTAACATCCTGATTAAGCTGGCAGCTTGAATTATATCCATGACATTTTGTAGTGTGCAATCCATCTGTGTCACGTCCACTTCAGTATGGCTGAAGTTGAATAGGCAAAACCTGTGCCATTTCTTTTCTTTTCCTTATCGCCAGTGTGGACCTTGAAGTAATCTTCACTCTCCTTCCACTTTATTTGTCAAAGCTCTTCAAAACAAGATCTTTAGAGAGGGAGAAAGTGAATTAATTATGTTTTTTTTTTTTTCCCTGCAAACATCTCTCTATTTTTATTGTAGCCAGCTTTCATGTCAAGGTCTCTAACCTCACTTTAGATGCTGCTGTTGTCCACATGTCAGCGTTATCAGGAGCATATTGTTAGCCAGGAGGAAGAGGTCAGCAGTAATATTTCTGTGCAGCATACAGTGCTGACTTTGGGGTGATTTACCACACAGAGTAGCCTCAAAATTTAGTTATTAGTGGAGACAAAAATAAAAATAAAAACACACAAAAGGAACCACAAATAGCACCTCCATACTGTCTACAATTATGGTGAAAAAAAAATCTCATAATTCCTCATTTTTACTGAAACAATTTTGGAACACTAGTAAAAACTGACAAATGAAATGCAATTACAATAATCCTCATTTTATACCGTCAACATGCTACCACAAGACTAGAACGTCCTTGGTTCTGTTAGACACAATGTCACATGTATGACATGCTGGCAACCAAAAAAAAAAGCAGAGCCATTGTGCAGTTTGGAGAGAGTATATTTGTGAGAACACATTGAGGCCATTATGAATCGCCTCTGAGAAGAAACTCAGACAATATTTCAGTCTCACTCACTCTGGCCATGCCGGAGAAGAAATATAATGGGATAATCTAATGAATTGCCCAGGCCTGGTCTTGAATAGAGGGAGCGATATAAACTCTAACCTTAAGGGAGAGGGAAAGAGAGGGAGAGGATAGAGACTGGATGCTCTCTGAGCTTTACATCAAAGTCTTTGGTTTTCTCCTCGCACACAGAAGCTCTCTGTGTTAACAATGAAAGCTGCAGCCCCCACCATCGTCTCTCCGACACAAGCTAACGGCAGCTCCCCTTAGGATCAGACCATAAAAAAAAAAAGGTTGACCACACATAAAAAACGTTGTCAGGCATAAACATGCTGCGCTCTCTTAAAAAAAAAAAAAAAAAAAAAATCCCTCAAACGACTTGTGAATATGAAAATGCTGGAGATTCTTTCTATTTGTAAATACAGTAAAATGTCATATTACTAAAAATATTTTATGAGAATATAAGCACCTGGATGTTTCATGCAGTGTAAACAGTTATCTAAAATGTAACATAAAAAAAGGAGACGAAAAAAAGACAAATATGGTGCAAAAACTAAAGAGATCCTGTTTATAAAATGGTTATACCGTTATGGAAAAAGCAGATTGAGTGTAAATATTCACATGGGATTTTTCTGTGGCTCTGACTCCATCCAAAGTGATCCTTCAACTCAGACGCCATCATCACACTAAGGATTTGTGGCAGTAAGTGCTGTCCACATGCCCACCCTCCAGAACACTCTATGGTGCCACAATTTCCGCCTCCACTGGGGACTTCCTGAGGTCTCTCGAGCAGAAAATTGCTCTGTTACAGCATTATCTTGGATTATGGCAATATTGTTGTGGACAGGTCCTGAGCTCTTCCTATAAGATGCATCACTGCTGCTAGCACGACCGTTAATGCTGAGCTACAGACAACAAGGTGGCGTGAACTGTGACTGACCACAATTCTCTCTTTCACCCTCAGAAGTGATGCTTACAAAGAACGCTACAGTGACTTTACCCACTGTCATTAACAGCTGCGTGTGGTTCAGCATCACCATGCAGAACGTGCTTTCTTTGCTTACATAGTAGAAATTTTGTAAACACGTGCATTTTATTGTGTGAATATATATATGTATTTATATATTTTTAAAATGGCAATTTGTTCTTGTAAAGTCCTACTTTTAAAAATCTAGAAAATAAAGAACTTAAGTTATACACATTGTACCTTTTCAAGGTCACCACTGGTGCTGAGGAGTCGCTATTTAGCTGTGGTGTGTTTTCCGACGTGTTGGAGTGGAGGGATGATTCAGGACAGTGCTGTTTGTGATCATCACTTTCTCGGTGAGAGGCATTTCTCTCAGGTGCTACATCCTCTGGTAAATCCTCCTCCAGCTCAGATTGTGTCAGAGAAATCGTCAGGTCGCTGGCACTGCTCTCCGACACCTGCACATCTGAGCTTGGTTCACTGACACTCTCACATGTACCTGAATGTAAACAAACCACATCGTATCACGTTCTCTTAGAAATAAATCTTCAAAGGGCAAGATAAAGTGCTGTAAACTGTCAATTTCTGTAAAGGCAAAAAAAAGATGCAACAAGATAGTGAGGAAGAAATATCTACAAACCTGGTGTCTCTTGAGCTTCTTTTCCAAAAGTGGTTTCACGTATCAAATGGCCAAGACCTCTCTCTTCATCTCCCATCATGAGTGCTTCGTGAACGACCTCTTGGGAGTCGGTGTGTTCTGCAGGGGAATTCTTACCCCTCATAGGGTTGCTGTTACTGCATGATGGATTCTTCTCAGACCCTGTCAAGGTCACCAGAGGGGAAGCTTCTTGTTCATCAACACTTCCAAAAGCCGCACTACCAGCTGTGTCTGGTAAGGCACGAACAGATGGGAGCAGCCCCGACGTTCTTTCATGTTTGTCACTCAAATTACAGCTGCCAGGGGAGCCGTTTGAGCCTGAAATGTCATCTGATAAATGTGATCGCTTTCTGGCGGCATCCTCTCCGCCAACTCTGAAGTTCTTCAAAAGGCCACTTGCTAGACGTTCGCCGGAGTGAACGCTGTGATTGGGTGAACGATGCGATGCTTGGTGTGAGTGTACACTTCTGGTGCCAGCTTCTCTGTCAGGGCCTGTAGAAGTCTGCTGGTCTATAAAAATTCCTACTGGTGATTGTTCAAAATCATTCACTGAGTGAGAAAAAATGACATCGTGTTGCTGTTCGTGCACAGCTTGGACCTGCATACATTAAAAAAACAAAAGCCTTAATTTGGCATACGAATATTCTGTTAAATCCTATGAATATTTTCTGTAACAAATATAGCTTTCGACTAAAGTCTTAATTTCATGACGTTAAATTTTAAAGGAAATTAACAAGCATTTTAAATATTCACATTCACAATTGTGTTAGTTTATTTAAGCAGAGGTCAGAATTTTTTCTCTCAACATATTTCAGAAGAATGTGTCGGGATCAACGTTTTAACTTTTAATCTTACAAAAAAAAATCCTTTAGACAACTTTTGATTCATGTCTGCAATGTCACCAAGGGCAAAGAGAGAGAAAGCAAAAAAAGCCTCCCTCCAAGCATAACAACAAAAAGCATGGCTTCTGTTTCTTTTCTGATAAGCGTCTTAAATACCAAACAGTTAGCTGCTTAATAACATTCACTGTAAACCATGCAGCCGGCCCAGCAGATCCACAAAGTAGGTAAAAAAAGAGAGAAAGTTAATTTCTTGGCTGAGTGATTCCATCGGTAGCTGCAGGGCAAAGTAAAAAGTGTTTCACTAAAGTAGCAATTGATTCTTCTATCAATCTGCGGCACGCGTGTGCTCTTCCAAGGAATGTATTAAATATGAAAATCATATCCCGTTATCATCTGTCTCCAGCTTTCAGCCCGGTAAGCTTTCCTTAATGAATGCTGCAGCCTGAGGGACATGCACACTGCCAGCCAATGGCTTGTATGCATAATGGAGTGACGGTACCATTTTACTCATTACAATATCGACCGGCTGAGGGGGGGTTTGCACACAGTTACAAGTGACTGCTCTAGACAGCATGCTCCAAGTTATTATGAGATGTCTTAGACATTTCATCTAAAAGAGCTTTAACTGCTTTAAGTGAATGGAGAAAGCGGCTATGGGCTTGAACTACATTGCTTGTTCATATTCACCAGCCAGGATTAGACACCTGTGCTATTACAGATACACAGTTTAAATGTAGACTTCTCGACAGAGTTAACAGGCATAATGTCTACTTTCTTTTGTTACTCTAAACCTGAAAACACACCTTGAATGGGCTGAGGTGTGCATGAACCTTTCAAAATAAAAGATGCAGCATCAAAAACCGATGAGTTTTAAAATCGTACAAAAAGGTACAAAAGCAAAGCAGAAGATGTAGTGTTCTTTATAGTCTTATCCAAAATAAATGTGCAAATCCCATTCAAATATTTATTATTACCACACGTCTACACATTTTATTTTTAAATGCCAATATTACCTGATCTGCTTTTAACATGGGCTCCACCTTTTTATTTGCTTCCTTAAATCTGGAAATCTTTTTCAAAAAGTCATCCTGCACAAAAAAAGAAAAGACAGATAACGGGGAAAAAGATGGAAGTTAATACATGCGTGCTGCATGTGTCCATTTTTGATTTCAGAAATCAAAAATTGATAAACTGTGTTGTGATAGTGTTATTTATTCATACAGCAGCATAAAACCAAAAAAAAAACTTGGAATTTTCTTAAGTGAGTGTGTCCTGATGACGGTCTCATCAGTAGCATGCTACACATCTAAACACACTCACACACACTTATAGACTAAAAATAGACTTAGTATCTTTATGAGGAACAGCAAAGATTTGGATTGGCTCAAACATGTCACCTCTTTCCATCAATAATAGAAGCCAACAATTAAAACTAGGCTTTCACATTTTTTTTTATGTTTTATTTGATTAAAAATCTGAAAGTATCCTAAAAAAAAGAAAAAAGGACATAAATACACATGAGTAAAAATGTCAACATGTACACCATGTGACCATTTGAAAAGGCCTGTTCAAAATCATCGTAAATGAAGAACCAGAAAAATGACAGCGGTTTCATAAAAAGGAGACGAAGTGCAATGTGGCAACCAAAATAGCGGCAAACATCTCGGACTAAAAGCATGAAGAGGAATAAACCAACTGCTTGAGGGGAGAGAATGACTAAACCTCTGGAGCACTTCAGAGTCTCTATATTGGGTAATTAACTCAGTGAGTCATAATTAGCCAATTTTGTTAATTTGATATTAAGCTGTCAAGCACTGTCATTGAGTTTTAAGTGATAATCTGACAGGCTTATTGTTTTGTCCCTCGTTCATTTGCTTGTGATGATAAATTGCACTGTTTTGAGTGTTTACTACTTTCACATCAAGGCATTGCAAGCAAATGAAATGGCCTGTCTACTTGTCTACTATGAGTGTTTTATGAATTACATTTACAGAGAAGTGATTGGGAAAATGCATATGAAATAAATGTGAATTGTTAATTTTCTCAAGTCATTTACAGTAGTTAGAAAAAGTGTTTTTCCAAAGATACTTCTCACAACAAGCTTAATAAATCTAATTCTAACATATAAAAAGAGTTACTTATAAACTTGGTTTAGGGTCTGTGAGTGAAGCTTACAATTAAATGCTATATTAAATAAAATCTAAGTTGCTCAATTAATGAAAATGTATGAGTGTGCATGCATGTGAATATACACGTGTGCTATACCTTTTGTTTTTGCAGGTGACTCGGGTCACGACTATAATCCTTCATGCTAATTTCCATGCTCTTCACATCTCTCTGAAGTTCAAGGTTTCTCATTTTTGCTCGTGCTTCTCTGTCACAGATTTCTTTGAGATAACTGCGCAGTTTGGAACACCTTATCTGCATGCTGAAAGCAGCGGAGAACCATTATTCAAAAGAAATATTATCTAGGAGCACTGTCAAAAACTAAGAGCTAGGCTTCTCACAAGAAAAGGTTAAGCACAATATGATTTAAATTTAAATCTTGTTCGCAACCCTCTTTTCAACGTGGGTTTTCCTGTTGTGACCTGGAATACAAAATTTAAAATCTAGATGAAAATGTCTCCTTGGACAGAAAACCAAATGGATAATATATACAATATTTTGCTTGAGAGGTCAATTCACAGTAGTTCTCTTCCATTAAACGCACATACAATCTGTACAGTACTGTGCAAAAGTTTTAAACCACCCCTTCTTCTTTTATAGGGTGCTCCCTTTAGGAGCAGATCATCTGCATCCTCATCATCTTCCATGCCAACTATATGCATATCCTCCACAACATCCATGAACCTTTTATGTAGTTTTCTTCTTCTCTTCCTCTCTTGCAGCTCCATATATATATATATATATCAATATATTCACCATCCCTCCTCTGCATATGTCCAAACCATCTCAGCCTCACCTGTCTTTGTCCTGAAACTGCTCCTGAGCTGTTCCTCCGATATACACCTTTCTAATCCTGTCCATTATTAAAGTATTTCTTTAAACTCTGGCTGCGTTTTCATTCATTTTCTGTCTAAAAGAAGAGCGAATGAAAACTTAGCTAATATTTAAATAAATAAGACATTCAGAATGCCAAATCAAACCCATTTAAAAAAATTACAAGCTTAGTTTCTTGGAAGCAAATTTATATAGAGATAAGCAATGACTTAAAATCATTGTACAAATTTACTTGTCTGTGTGTGTTTGATCTAATTTGATTAAAATCAGAAAATTCAAGTTCAATTATGCAAAAGGATGTCAGCGCTTAGTCATAATAAAGTAGCCACTATTTATTACAAATAAGTTTAATCATTATTTAACTGCGGCAAAGGCAATATATTTATTTAATTAGGTTTTTGTTTATTTGTTTGGTGCAACAGTCAGTGTAACTTACATTCTCGTATCTGATCTGGAGAAAGCAAACAATTCCCTCTCCAGCTCCATTCTCCGTTTCTCTCTGCAGACAAACAGAAATCCACCGTTTGTTTCGGCTAAAGTATTAGCATTAGCTGTAGCCTCTGGCAACTATACAATCCGCTTCTTTATGAAAAAGAGCCATGCAAAAACAGCAAACCTCTAAACAAACAAGCATTCATTTACCAAGATCAACTCAGCTCTCTCTTGATAGCAAAACCGTCCCAAAATCACTGCTGTTAGCTTAGCCTCTGCGATAAAGCTAGCGAAGTCCTCGCCGAACTCCTGCGGCAGACGGACGCTACAAAACGGTAAGGGTAGCAACTTGAGCCCGCGGTCGATCTAAAGCGGGCCTTCTGCGTTTCTATTTTAAAAACAACAACAACAACAACGTAACCTTACCTTTTATGCATGCTTTGCTGGATAGATGTAACCTTTTCATAATACTGGTCTGCCATTTGAGTTTGCTTTTGGCGGTGCTGTACTCAGACAAGGAAAAGACGCACAGAAAAGGAGGCGGGAGCGGGACGTCTGTGTTTACGTTGGTTACCATGGAAACCGCTTCCCAGAATTCTCTGCGGGTAAACACAGAAACCACGTGGCTTGAAGAGACTCGACAACAATGCTCAATACATTTTTGCTGTATTTTGCATTACGAAAGTGTTTTTAAGGTTTGAATTATTTATTTTTTTGTTGTATTTTGTAAATTTTAAACGTTAACAGTATAAACGTGTTTAAAATGTCATGTAATTTGTGTCATTACCTTTTACCTGATTTTCCTGAATGTCATCTATCAGAACGCCTTTGTCTTTTGTATGATAAGGTACCCCTTCTCTGACAGATTGATATATTTTCTAGTCAGATGATTGCAGTAACCCATCATCTTTAGATTTATTCTTGCACTATCAAAGTTCATCACTGACAGTTCTCAAAATGTCATATTTTTGCCTTTAACTGAGAGCAATTTTCTGAAAGACACGTCCTTGCTTGGATTCTGAAATTCACAGCCCCTCCAAATACACATCCTAATCAATCAGTTTCCTCCAATTCCAACCCCATCAAATTGCTCTTTTAGCTGTAAACCGGGGAGTTTTGTTGTCCTTTTCTAATGCTAATCTGCTCCATTCAGCATCTCTCTATGAGGCTATTTGTTGTGAAATAAATCCCCTTGTTTGCCTCCAGCATGTATAATTGATATTGTTGCCAGGGTTTTTGTTTGTGCCATAAAGAGCTGAAAGGCAGTACTTTGGAGGCAATGAAGAAAATGAGTCTTGCAGCACCGCTGTTCCAGCTGAGCTTAGCCAAGGTTATTGCCTTCAAGCTTTGTTTGATGCTATACAATACATTTCTGGTTATTTTCAGTATATTTTGATGAACAGAATTAATGTTTTCTACACATATGCCCAATCTTTGCTTTCTCTGCCATACAGATGTGCACATCACCGTGAAAGAGATTTTGTCAAATTAGGGGCAAAACCTGGACTGAACTTTTATTTTATAATATGATGGTGAACACAAATGTAATCATTTGAATGATAAATAGTACAAACATGCAAAGTATCTTTCCATCCAACACACACAGGGTATTTATTTTGTGTGTGTTTATTTTTATTTAACCCAACAGGTAATTTTATACAATATAATTCACTACTAATTAAACAAAAGGGGCCAAATTTTGCTAAATTTTGATAGAATATGAAACAGTAAACAAAAGAAGTGCATTCTTTAAAACTTTTTACCTGAGTAGTGGGCTTTAAAATATTTTTTTAATTGTTTTTTTTACAGAGTCTTTGCTCTGTTGTTTTTTTTTCTCTCTCTGTAGCTCTGTTGACAACCCTCAATTTGTATTATCATTGATACGCCCTAACAGAGGTCACAATTTGCATAAGAATTAACAGCTAGTAAATTAAATTGATATTCAGTGCACATCTCCATTGAATCCTTCAGACCTTTGTTACCCTGCTTGGCAGAACTCGTGTTCAGCCCCCTAGCTAGTCGGAAACATCTGTGCAGTTAATAATTTGATAAACAGCTTACACAAATTATCTTCCCCATCCCCTCCCCTTTTCTCCATCCTCTTGTGCGAGACGTGGAACAGTTGGCTCACCTCTCAGTGGTGTTGGGTTTATCTGTGTGTGTGTGTGTGTTGGGGGGTGGTAGGTGGGGGGGGTGTTCTTGTTTTTATGACTTGATACTGAAGCACTGTTCAGGTCACACCAAAAGATCAGTTCTCTTTTATGAAGAAAAAGTCACTGTTGCCTATTGTAGAAGAATAAAATGGGTAAGACGTTTTTAAAATTCATTCATAGCTCTGTCTGGTTAACATTCACAAAAATGTTAAAGAGCTTTGACATTTATAAACACATTTTAACATGTACAATACCATTGTGCTCCCATTCTTTTGAAGCCCATTGAATGCCCAGAACTTGGATGTGAAATTGCAAATTATGGTCTTACTTTTTTATTTATTTATTTTTATCCCGGAGAGCTTTCTGCATCAAAGTTCTAAGTTAATCCTGTGGTCACTTGTTTCTGTAATTGTCTGGCAATACTAGTAAAAGACACAGGGCTTTTATGGTCATTTCCAAAACTACACACATACAGTAGTTAGCAACGCTTTGGTTTGATTTTCACCAAGTTGTGTTAAAGAGACTTAAAATGTATATACAGTGCAGCACTATTAGTTTTATCTATTCACTATCAAAGTTAAGCCAGGTCCTCTGGACGGTTGCTTTGCATAAATATTAATATTAAAGAGCCCGTCCAGAGCAACGGACTTAACTTTGTTAGATTTTTTTTTTAACCTGGATTATTGAGCATGAACTTTGATATTCAGTGTCCGTTTTAAATCAGATAAAAATTAAAGGCTTAGGATTTCTTGAAGGATTGCATATTGTGCGCTACCTTTTCTGTCAGAGTTTAGTGATGTGTATCATATCACATCATATCTGCAATATCACAAGCTCTCACACTCAAAGTATGTCTTGTGAATCATTCCACCACATAAAATTTGAGGTCGAAATCTATAAAATTGACTGAGTTACAGCTATTTTTTGTATTAGCTATCTTTAATCACATTGACATAAAAGGTAATTAGTTGAAGATGATTTATTTCTGCAAGATTTATTAAAATTTGCTCAGTGGTTCATGAAATATTTTGGTAACAGACCCACACGCTCCCAGACTTGGGCAAAAACGCTGTCTTTGCCATTTGGTGGTGGGCAATTAAAAACATTGAAATCTCTGTACTGTGTGTCTGTGTGTGCAGACACGTGGCTGCGGTTTATTTGTTCATCTTTTGTGAGTGCCTTTGTCTTTGAGAGGACAGCAATTAGCTAAGTCCTATCAAGTGGATGAAAAGCTGCAATAAATCCTTCTCATAATTTTATGGAAAAGAAAGCTGACCAAATAGAATAGAAGTGAGTGCTACTTTCCAACTCTTGCCTTTTTGGTTGCAGCTTAAGAAGAAATTGAACACCAGAACACAAGAGGGCATGTTAAACTGGAGTATGTTAAGACAAACTCAATAAAAAAAATTGTCTTTTTAGTTTGAGCAAGAAAAAAAAATCTTAGTGTTGCAGGTGTTTCCAGAAATCTTAAGTGCTGTCGAAAAGAGCACAATGCTAGTTAGAACAAAAACCGGTCTAATAAAAGTGGTTTTGTTATTAATGCTGATTGTTATAAATTTATTGGCGGATCATGTTAGTTATTACTTTGAAACGAGTCTTAACGCAGTTTGACCAACGACAGCTAGTAGGAGGGTCAGTACAAGTGACAGACCATGTGTATGGGCAACATGGGGATTTTTTGCTATCTGGCAAGTGATTGAGATGACATGGAGGTTGAAGCCAACCCACCGCCAATGTGTCTTTGTGCCACCAAGCAAACAGATGAATTGCGCTTTATCATTGTTCTTAGGATCTACAATTTTTAGATTTACAAAAAAAAATGACCACCTCTTTCTACACTAAAAGTGACAATCCGTTTCTAGATGGCCCATTTGACGTGATCCTTCAAAAGAAACCTGTACATTTTATATCCACAGTGAAACATTAGAGAATACTTTATTTGTTTGCGTGAGGAGCATCATGTCCTGTCTGTTCTATAGGTCACCCTCAGTTGACTCTGTCATTGGAAGTCATTGCTCTTATAGGGATGTAATCTTTCAGGTCAAATTATCATTCAGTGTGAACTGAAACTGGCGAATGTCAGAGGGCAAGGATCAACTCAGGCCCAAGCTTTCTCATCGGCATTAAGCCATCACAGCGTTGTAAGGTGAGCTCCTGAAATGAACTCTGTCGCTGCCACCACTGCACCAATATCCCCACAACACAGCATGCATATTGATTGCAAATTGTGAGTGAGAGAACATGTGTGCATGTAATGTATTTGTGCATGCTCACGCAAGCTCACCTTTTTCTAGCAAGGAGCAAGGGAATCGTCTTACTCTCTTGCTGATTAGAAAGCTCATGCATAGGAAATCACGACAGAGACACTGCTCCCCATCTGCCCGCAGTGCAGGTGAAAACAATTTACACATCACCAGGCTAATGGATACATTCATAGGGAGAGAGAAAAAGGATTGAGCCAGAGAGGGAGAGAATAACAGAGAGCAAAGAAGAGTCGTGTTATAATGGGCCCGGGCCATGGCAGGCCAGTGGCCCTGCTCATTCGGCCAAGCCAGATAGCAGCCTATCAGATAACACATAATCACCAAGGTCAGGGACTAATGAATGCGGTCGTGGCCCACCAAAACAGGCTTTTGCCCGCACTAAAGACACTTGTAAACAATTCGACTGGGTGAAACATGGCAATAATATGTTGATTTAGCAGGTAATGAGGTTCTCCCTGAATCAATACCCCCAGCTAACCTCTCTCCCTCGTGGGCCAGTAAAGAGCAGCCAGCTAGGTTGGTTAGCACGTACCTATGTCGATGACCTTTCCGTGGCAGTAAGGACACGAGGCAGTCTGAAGAGGACTATTCTCGTATTGCACAAGGCGCTGAGTGTCAGAACTTTCATTCGCAGCAAGCAAATGAACAGGCAGGCGCTGCATGCTAATGAGTGGCAAGCTATTTTCCACCTTTTTTATCTGCACATTATGCTCTTGACTTTGGAGAAGGTGGGAATTAGGTTGGACCTCAGTGTCAGGCTGCCTGATGGCTCCGCTCAGGAAAAACTGGTAATTGAAGCCGATGGCTGCCGCGGAGGAGGTCTGAATTTGGAAATAAACAGTTTCAAGCACTGCACGTCATTTCTAGAGAGATGACAGGGGGAATGGAAATGAGCTGTCTGGATCTAATATGCTTTCGCAGCAGGGAAAAAAAAAGGGGGGCATCATTTCAGATAACAATTCCACTCATTAGGGCTTCAGTGCCACGGTAATGACAAGTGAGCAAGTTGCTAAATTCAGAAAGGACAATTAAAAGATGCTGGCACAGAGACAAACCGAATAAACAAGGACACGTGGCTCTGAAATCTGCACGGTCTCTGGCTTGGCGTATGTCTAATAGCATTCAAAGCTAAAATAGGAATGATTTCCTTTTTAGTAATCATAATCATT